ATTAAGTTGAAACGCCAGCGTTGAGGCCGCTTAGACATACTTTTTGTTAGAGACACCGTCATACTTACCGCGTCTTAACAACATTTTTTATTTTTACTAAAAACTATCTCACCAACAAATTAGTAAACAGTAAACACCAATTTGCTTTAAATTCCCATCATCATGCAGTATGCTCAAATATCTATATTGTAATCTTTGGATCTAATACTACACCTATGTATGCACAATCCAGAGTTGCCCGTCAGGTCCGATTCCTGATAGGATATTCCTGATCAGATCTGGGTCAACGATATTATTATACTATAAATCGTTATTTTTTTTAACTTTAATCTTATAATATCTTTGAAAATATTAAAATATTTTAATAATAAATATATTTAAATAACCGAGTTTAAGTCTAATTTGGATTTAAATCTTAAAGATGTCAATTGGATTTATTTAAGTTTAATCTTATAATATATTTATATGCTTACTAATTACCAAATTCAAATTTGGAAATCTAGTTAATTTATCGACATTCATAGGAAGAGGGATAAAAAGGTTGGCTTGTGCATGGCTGCCCAACTTATAGCTAAAAATGGGTTTATTTATTTATTTTTATATAAATGATCTCATGAGAATCTTACAAATGTCTAAAAAATGTCGTTGTAACAAGGTGGTGACTTTGGAGACAAGAATGGGCCGGTGGCGCAAAACCTCTAGAATTTGTGGCTGAGACAGAAATCCAGGACCTTCCAGAAGCCTAGACAGAAGCCACATGCCACTGTCATCTTCACATTAATTATAATTCATACACGCATGGATGATGGGGGACTACTACTACTGCAAAATCAACGTCACCAGCCGGCTTGGCTAGATAAGGTTGCAAACGCATTGTCATTAGTAACACATTTATTCCAAGAGAGGACAACGTTATCTTACCTAGGCTAGCTTGGCTGGCTCCTGGAATATTGTCGGTTTCATTTTGTCGTCAACCAATATGAGAGTTTATCATATCTCCCTCAACGCTGGGCTACTGTTTAGTTGAAATTCGAGGACAATGACTTCCCTCTAATTATGTTAAGGTGACAATCTTCCAATGGAAGACCGACTTTATTTTGCCGCTCTTAGCTATATTCTTACATTTGTTAATTAATTATTTGCTTCATCTTTGGTATTGACAGAAACCTAACCAAGAGTTTGTGAACAATTTGTCTTACATTTATTATTCAATACTAGATATGTTTGAATATATGTCATGCGATAACTTGTAAAGTAATTAAACGCTAGAGATAATTTATAAATGTTGCTACTTTAACAAGATAGTATCACAAGTAAAGCTGTACAAGTGAAGATGTAAGAAAAAACGAAGAAGATTCATGTATTTAGTAGTCAAAAGGCAACGGATTTGCGGAGGTAGGCAAAGACTAAAGAAAATTGAAACTGTCTGAAGCGCAACATCGACGTACAAAAGCATTATGATTTGATTTCCACGTATCTCAGAGCAATACAATTATTCGAGTTAAACTTTGAACAGTTAAACACTACAATTGTGCCTGTTTAAGGCATTTATTTCTCTTGCTTAATTTCTTATTATGTAATATTACTCTTAATTTTGCTGTTAGTCTTTGTTATTTCACTTTTTAGAGGGAAAGCAAGAGGGATTCGTTAAGGCTGTACCCCCATTCCCCCTCAACAATTAGACCTCATGACAAAGTTTTCAGCTTCGTCTTCGTTATATTTATAATTATCATATACGTTTGTTCTTTTTTTAGTTGAAAATAAACCCATATCCATCCTGAACAAACTTATTAACAAAGACCAAATTAATCACAAATTTACTAGTCTTATTTTTAACATAGTACAAACACAAGTTGAACTTTACTTGCAACCTTGAGCAACATCATCTATGAAAGCCTTAAGGTTCGTGTCCAAGGATCCACCTTCCATGGCAGCTTCCCTTGCCAAATCTTTCCATTTTTCAGCATTCCTTCTTAATTCAT